GAGTGATTGAGAAAAGAGTCACCACGATTCTTAACATGAGTATATACTTATTTACAGATTTTTTTTCCCTGAAATTGTCCAGAAGAAAAGATAAAAAGTGAGCTGCTACTCCATATTTCATCTCAATTCATTTCAATTTGCCAAGAACGAGTTGTTATAAACAACTAAAATGAGATTTATATTATGAAATCGGTGCTACCCATTACTTTCCCCACACTCTGCTTCTTGCTTGCTGCCTTTATAGGCAAGGGCACCCTCCTTATTTTGCTGCCATGATAGCTGAAAATATAGACCATTGCTGGAAGATCAAAGTGACTCCCAAAAGCAGACAAACCAAACACCCCATGAGAATATACTTTACACCATTAAAATATTTTTAGTATAGTGAATGAATTTAACCATGTTGAACAAGTAATTACTTTCTACTCCAACCCTTTAATTTTTCTTAAAAGTCATTGTTATCATATCTGAGAACCATGCCAGTTTTCATCACTGCACCTTCCTGAAGGTTAAAGCTTAAAACAACTGTCCTGCCTTTTTAACCTGGTAATCTGTTTCTGCCTTGAAGTATTTTTTCTGCAATCAGTGCCACAAAATGTACAATTTAAAATGTTTGACATTGGCTGATTTTGTCCTTCGGATTACCTAGGAGGCTGGTTATATCACATAGCTCATTTTTATATAGAAAGTGTAGAGTTTTGCAGTATATTACATTGAATTGAAACACATGCGAAAATTGCAGATGCTGCTTTTTAAAGAAACAGTCAACTAGAGTGTATCACATCAAACAGATTATGAATTTTTTTCCTGGCATTGTAAGACAAATATTTTTTAATTCAGGACTTAACAGCTTCTCTTTAAAACACTGTGAGTGCCACTGGAACTTACATTTCACAGCAAAAAGACTGATAAGAAGCTTTGAAATATTTTAAAGGAATCAGTGAAATCTCTTTACTAGACAATTATTCTACAGTGGAAGAGAAAAAACCCAGATGATTTTATTTTCTCTTTCTACCTTATATGGTACTTTTTCATCCGTTTATTTTCCTGTGTTGTGTCAATAGTGGTAGTAGAAACAGCAGCTATTTTACAACAGCTATGCTATTGTAAACAACATAATAGATGCTGTTTACACAGGGACATACCTGGGTTCAAGGCACAGTACAAGCAGAGTTAATATTTTAGTCTTTGAAAGAAAGGAAGAAGAAGGGCAAAGAGTAGGGAAGAAGAGGGGAGAGGAGAGGGACATAAACTAGGAGACAGGTCTGGAAAAAAGATTCAGATATTTAAATATCCCACCAGAAAACAAAGTTAAGTCCCTCTTCTGAAACCCTGATTAGCTGTCTAATCCTATCTAACACAGTATCCCTTATGCCACATGTGGAGGATTTAAGTTTCTTACCTGTCTTGGAAGCTCAGAAATACGAGCAGAAATGCCTTGAAGAGTGAATGTGCTCTATATATATTGCTCAAGTTATATTTCTATCCAAAAGATTGCGGCCATCCTGCATGCAGCCAGGTTTGGAGGCAAGGAAAAAAAATTGCTGTACAGAAAAGAAACATGGTATTAGAATGAAACCTCCAAAGTGCAAAGACAGCTTTCAGGGAACTGTGAGAGCTTCAATAGCCTTCCCATTCCCAGATGAAGGGAAAGCTGTCGGAATCATAGAAGGAATAAATTAATCTACCTGGAATAAGTAAAAATCCATGAGCTCAGGATAATAGCAGTGTTTCAGGGAATCTTAGATTTGTTGCCTTCTACCATCTCTCAAAATTGGGTTTTGGAAAGGGGCCTTAGTTTAGCTGGCAGTGGCAACCTTTGCTAGTGACATGCCTTTGTACCTCCACTGCTGAGCATTTATTCTTCCCTCGGGCTACACTCAATGATACCTGAAGTCTCAGTCAGGTTAAATTTGTGGTATTACTCTGTCTGCATCTGTATCTCTCCTAAGTAGATATTAACAAACCAAGTATTTTCAGTCCTTCACAAGGAATATCCATAGAAGACAAGACAGAAAAAAGGTGATGTTTTATAACCAGTCATGTGAAACTTGTTAGATGCATTTTTTAATTCTTGATTAAATCATGACTCTGAGTTGGTAATCTGAGTTTGAGCTGAGGTTTTAATTTTTAGAAGTCATTTGCTGAATCACTTATTTCTTTTTGGAAAGCCTGCTGATTTTAATGTGAACCATTCCTTCATAAATCACAGATGATAAAAACACACACAACTGTGCTGTGTTCAGTAAATGGTGAGTTTTGTTTTGCTTGTGTTGCAGAAGACATTTATGCTAATGGAAATGATTGCACAACTCTATTAAAGCCATGCATTTCAGCCTGTTTTGATCAAGGTTATGTCAGCAATTCTGCTTAGAACACACCGAAGATGTTCTAATTTAGCAGAAGGTAAAGACTGCTCTAGCTTCAAATCTGGCTTTATGCCTGGGAGCAATATTTTAAACCAAATTCATAGCAATGTCATCGGCTACTTTAATCTCTTTTTTTTTTTTTGTGGATCCACATTAATCTGCATCAATTCATGCAGGAAACTTAGATTACTAACCCAGTAGACCTAGAATATCATAAGACAGTTCACTAAATCCTCAATGTAAATTGACTTCTACTTTCCAACTAGCCATAGTGCTACTTGTACCTGTGTCTGTTTCAGTAAAAAAGCATTTTGCAATTATTTTGAAGAAGAAGGAGCAAACCCCTGTTTTTAATGAAATGTGTGGTTATTTAGGCATTTTTGGCCATTCTTATTATATTAAGTACTCAAAATAAGGGAAACTAATGTTTATTGCAGTTCTCTCAGCCTTGAAAAGTTATACTTGAAAGTAGTTTATTAAATTTGAGAAGTATTAATAGTTTAACATATGGAAGAGATTTCTGTGGTTTTCTCATGCATTTTGAAATTTGTACTTAGTAGAGATAAAAGTCCAGTGTTTTCACATGATGCAGAGTACTGAAACACCAAAAATTCACTCTGCTGACTGAAATGTATTAAAAATTGTTTGTGTTAACTTTGTCCCAGAACACTTTTATGGGATCCCATACTGTTTAATCTTCTTTAACATAAAGAAAACACAAATATTGAGTTTTAATTTAAGTTAATTTAATTTAATTTAAATTTTTTGGCTATTTTGAGGAGAAAAACTCATTATGTTCTATCATCCCACACAGATAAAAGTTGTACTTCAAATAAATCAGGTATATACAAATCTACATTTATCAATAGAGAATCACAGTCATATCTCCAGAGAATCACAGTTGTATCTCTGGATAAGGCATTTTGTAGCTTCCACTATTAATTTCTTTCTGTTACGTATGAAATGTATTCCATGATTAAGCCTTTAATATTCTTTGGCAACAATAGTCATCAGCTTTGTGATTGAAGCTGTGTGCATGTTTAAATCAGTGAAAATTCGGAGGTCAAGAGTCTATTAGCTTTCTCCATCTTTTGGAGTGTCCCTATCACACCTTTGGAAGTGATAAAGTAATGAAAAATTAGATTAGATAGTAGAAGTATCTTAAATCACTCTGTGATGTAGCATGGACTAAAGAATGCTCTGGTTTTGAAGAGTACAGGAAAGACTGTACTATATAGAATGCTATTTTGTTTATTAATATAATTTGTATGTGCTATATTAAGACAGAAATATTAACTAAACCTAGCATGTTTATTTTCTAAACACGGTGGGCAATAAAAGTAATACCTAGACTTGCTGCATTCATTCAGTTTCCTTGGTGAAAAGAAATAGGGGATCAGCTGTTCTGAATCTGAAGGAAGGCTAAACCACAATTTTACCTGTGATCCAATTAATGACAAAAGGAAAAAAAATCTGTCTCTCACAGTTTCTGTTTCAGCACTTGTATTGCAAGAGAAAAATGAAAGAATAGGATGTTAAGTGTCATGATGCACTGACCTGTTCAATTTCATGGTTAGCTGGCACTGCCACTCTTTACCTGTTTACAGCCTCACTCAAATATTAGGTAGGAGTATAATGACAAGTCAATCAAATTGCAAAAAAATAAAAAGGCCAAGGTACTTTCCTATTACAATATTCTGATTTGCTTGACATGATACTGTTAGGAATTATATTTTTAATGATTCCTCTGCTGGACAAAGACAGTGAAGAGAATACAAAATTACACTTGACTTCTCTATTGTCCTGGCAAAGTCTCTAACAAGCATAGGTCAGAGTATAACCATTCTTCTTACAATTTCAGAACTGCAGTCTACAGATCTTCCCTGCTTGCCACATCCAATTTGTTGCAAGGGATGTTTTACACAAGACCACGTCTCTATTCAGTGGTAGCCTAAAGTTGACTGAGATTATAGTTAAATTTCCTTTCTAATGACGGTGTAGAGCAAGAATGATGCTGTCATATCATCAATCCAGAGGCTATAGAATAACCTAAGTGGAAAAAAGAAAATTGGCTTATAAAACAATTATGCATTTTTCACTTTCAAGAGCATTCAGATTAACATGAGACGATGATTTGGAATTATAAAAAGAAGCAAGAACAAGAAAATAATAGAGATTCAATTAAGCAATTCTACCTAGAGCTGTTATTTTATTTTAGTCACAGTGTAGGAAGAATATGTTTTGTATAAAGATGTAGTCAGAAAAACTTAGTTAGAATGTTAGCCACTGCAAAACTTCTACTGAAATCGTAACACAAGTGCCATAGTTACTTATAGAGGAAAAGAAGAAACAAAAGCTAGTGATATTTGACAAACTGAAATTCATTTTCAAATCTAAATATGGCATTTCTAACTTGATCTTTTGTATTTTTGTAATTTAACCAGAATAAAAATAAAAGACAACAGCACATAAACAAACAAACAAAAAAAGAACAAAAGAAAGCTTTAACAAAAATCTGACTTCCCCTTCATTCACCCTGAATTGTTTAATTCTTATTTGAAATTAAATTGGATTTTATAAGTCTGCTTATCAGTAAAATTACTCAGGAAGCAGTTGGGAGAGCTGTAGGAAGAAGTAGGTAAGTAAAGAACAATGTGAATCATGCTGAGGAGTGCATAAAAACCCCTAAATTAACTACTCAGAGAAATCATCAAGGATTTGAATAAAGCTCTCACCAGTTTTTCCAGTTCATGGTCAAGACTGAGGCACTGGCAGATGCACCCTGGAAAAAAACTACATGGCTTGGGAAGAAGAATGGTTTTCTTCAGTTGTACATAGATCTTAGAGTAGCTGGTGCATCATAAAATAGAAGCGTTTTTGGACACTGGTGCATAACCTGTTGAGGACAGCTTGAAAGCTGGTTAAAAAGGAGCACACAAAGGGTGAAACAAGTTGCTGCACAAGTGCCAGAAATCAGCAGGAGAGAGCAAGTGTTTCTCTATGTATTTAAGTAAAGGCTATTAGAGAAGAAACTTGATGAAATATGTTGCTCTATTTATTGGCTGTTACAGGGAAAGACTGGGTGATGGAAGTAATAAATTGGCATTTCAAATGTTCTAGATGAGGCTGGAAACACTGCTGCAATGTAACATTAATGACTTACTTTTACTTATGTGATTCCTAATCAGGATAAATATGGATTAAAAAAAAAGTCTACTGTCTTTTTAGTTCAATAATAACTCAGGGCTGCGCCTGTGAGCATGTACCCTGTTTGTACAGGAACTGAACGTTTCTTCACTGTAGTGTGTGAGGCTGTCATGTCTGAACAATGGAGTTGTTGTAGACCAGTGATCAAATCTCCTCGTCTGCTGCTTAACCTGAAAGTGGGTGGGAAGGTAATGGGGCATTAATAGGAAGGAGGATAGAAATAGCTATTTTTCAGTTGCTTTGCTGTAGACCTAATATGGGGTTATACAGTAACCACTTTCAAGTCCTGCATAATCATCTGGTCTCTTACTATGTTATTCTAAATACTAACAGATTGAGATTTCTCTTCATATATGCAGTGCCAAACCAGGAAGTGTCGAAGCCACCATCGTCTGCCTTCAGTGTAAAGGAAACAGAACAAGCTCAGCTGGGAATTAAAATGAAGCTTAGTTTGGAGACTGTTCACACGTGCTCTTGATCTTCCCCTTTCCCTTGATTATATGGCAGCCAAATCTACCAATAGCAATCATCTGAGAGGAATTAGTAAGTGCCTCTGCTTTATGCCTTGATTTTTAGCTTGAGTTGGGATTGACAATCTATCCATACAAATGGGTAAGAGAAAATGAAGAGCTTAAGGCGTTAGAGAGATTCCCTAAAGAAAACTCATCAAAAAACATTCACAGATGCAACAACTGCTTTATTATAGAGCCAGAAATTGTGAGGGAGAATCAGAGCCACTGTTGCAACCTGTGTGTCACCATAGCAACTGCTATTACAACAACTCGGATAGAAGCCCAGATTTTCTATTCAATGATGAAAACTTGGTCTTCCCACAAGATGCTTTCCCCTAGCATGAATCTTTCTGCTCAATAGGATAAAGAGGATGGAAATTAATCACAGAGAAGGAACGAGCTACATTGAGAGAGGAAAAAGTAAAATCAGAAAATAAAATAACAGGACCAAAAGATGCATGTCTTGTCACTGGTCCCTAATAGCCCAATTGTGAAACTGCGTGTCTAGCTCTCATTCCCATTCCATTATACTAGAGTGCAGGGCAAACACATTTGAGCCATCTCTTCAACAGAGGCTGCATCTTCTGACCTTTTCATCTACAATATCATAGGTGCATGCTGCAAGGAAGTAACTAGTGGGAATGGGGGGTGGTGGGTGAGGGGTGTGTGTCAAGTTGACCCTCCCAACTCCATTACTGTTAACAACTATCCTTTCAATATTACGCATTACGCTTTGTCAGTTTAGATGGAAAAGATTGTTGGTTGAGATATTAACATAGTTCATTCATCAATTACCATCACAGCCAAAATAATCTCAGTTTGCTGCAATTAATTTAATATATTGCCAATGAAAAATTGAGGGGAATGTTGAGAAAAAAGAACAAAACTAAAATGCCCTTGCCTCATTCCATTCTTCTCAGGCTCTGTTTCTTTTCCATATTCTCCTATCCTCTATTTCCCTGGCTCAGGAAATTGGGAATGGAATCTTAACAGCTCTGCTTTCCTCCTTTTCACCTGCTCCAGCATGGGTCTTCCATGGGCCACAGTTTCTATCAGAAAACCTGTGCTGGTAAAGGTTTTTCACAGTTATCTTCCCTTAGGGTATGCCACCAGCTTTGGCATAGGGCTCCCCATAGGCTGCAGCTGGATACCTGCATATCCCAGACCTCCCTGGTCTGCCTCACCATGGTCTTCCCCAGGGGCTGCAGGGAATTCTCTGCTCCAGAGTCTGGAAACATCTCCTCTCCTTCCTTCAGTGACCTTGGTGTCTGCAGAGTAGGGTCTCTGACTATTTTTTCCCCCTCACTCCTCCTCCCACTGTCTGCTGTGAAGCGTTTTCATCCCTCCTCAAATATGCTCTCCCACAGGTGCCACCAGCTTGTCTGAGGGCTCAGCCGTGTGCTGCAGTGTCTCTGACAGAGCTGTCTGCACTGCCTGGCAAGCTGTGGCTCCAGCCTCTCCTCACTGAGGCTGGCCCTGCAGCCCTCAGCTTCCAGCACGTGTCCAAGGACACACGAGGCACCATCTTACTGGCTCTGAATTAATAACTGCATTTTGTCACTTTACAGGATAAATTCTCCTGACGTGCTGAATGAAAAGATTTACTTGTATCTAGCTGCATTCGTATTAAGAGATGAATTATCTTATGAAAAAGAGATGTTAGGTTAGTCTGATATAATGAACTCTGACCTCTGATAAAAACAATATTTTATTTTATTTTGTAACATTTTGTTTCTCCACGCCCTTGATTACCATCTTCTTTGCAAACTCTTGCAAAATTCCACAGATTTGCATTCAATCAGAGATCTATAGTTGTCTACCCCGTTTTCTGGTTGTGTGAATAAATACCATGTTTGCTGTTTCACAATTCTTGGATACTCCAGAAGAGACTGTTCCATAGCTGTTTTAAATTTCATAACACAGGTTGGATTTTTTTAGCTACAACTATTTTGGAATAGTGGTTATCTGATCCTCTTTCCTTCTCCTCTGCCTCATTTCCTCAAGAGTGAGGTATAAATTACTTCCAACTCAGCAGTGGACATTTTTGTTTTCCTAGTTCCTCCCAGAGAAATAAGTACTGTCATATCTTACCTACTTAATGAAAATTGACATTAATTTTTGAGCTTGTATTTTGTCTATTTTGTCTGTATGTCAGTGTCCACCTTTTTCAGTGTTTCCTATTTTTTTTTTTTTTACGATTTCTTGCATTAACAAAATGTTATTGGACGGACATAGTTGGAAAGGCCTTTTTTGATACATAATTTCCTATGAACACACACATTTAGAGAGCTAGGGAATTAGAGAGCTTGGAAATTCTTTTCAGGCCTGGATTTCTCCTGACTCTCAGGTCCATTCCCAGGCTGACAAGCTGACTACAGCTTCAGTTAGGGAGGCAGTCTCCCAGGGTGATAACATGGTGAAAAACAGAGTGCAATTCATAATAAAGATTGACACCTGGTGTCTTTCCCGTGGGATACATCCTGAGGTACTGTCCCAAAGATGTTTTTCCCAATTGTCCAATGAACTACTGTCCTGTCCTAACTGCACGTAACACACTTTAAATGCGGGATGTCCATACAATAAAGTTGGCCTTTTTTCCCCAAAGAAGTCCGCGTGTGTTGCTGTCCTTTCTCTCTCTTTGCAGAGCAGTAACCACAGTTTCCTTGCTGACAGACACTGTCTCCTAAAGAGTCTATTTCTTTCTGTCTTTTACAAAGGGACAATTCATCTAGGTAGCCTCTCTTTGCTTAATGGCCCCCTTCTTTCCTTAGGACACAAGCTTCTATACTGTATATAATTCTGTGCTTCTTTACCTTTAAATCTCTAGAACTCCAGTTCAAGATTAAACTTTTCAGTGCAGCCATTCTGAAAAGATGATTTACTTAATTTAATAAAATATATGCTTTTACATATTTTTATGGGAATAAGAGGAATGTTTAAACCATATGTTTAACTCCGATTTTGTCTACCTTGTTACCTAAAATGAATTCAATCAGTTCAAGGTATCTTGATCTGAGAGCCTTTCTCAAGCTGAACTTTTGTGAGGTTTTTTGCTACTTACTGTAATGTATCCAAAATATCGTCTAGGCGAGTATTTGGTGGAGAAATCTAACAGCTGTTACTCCTGAGGGACTTCTGCAGTGGAGAGCGTTTGCATTACATTACCATTTACACCACTACAATTTTCTATCATCAGTTAAGAGAATTCTGAATTCCTATCCTAACCTGAATGCCATGAAAGATATGACTACTTTTATGAATGCATTGCAGTACTGTGGCATGGTTATGTGAAGCAGGATTAGAAGTTTTCTGACTATCAGAGAAGTGAAATTCTAAAATAGGTTTTAAAATAAAATAATCCAGATCCTAATCTATTTTAAGATAAAGACAATAAATTCACGGAAAAACTGCAGGAACAAATAAGCAAGATACTGTGACCAGTAATATAATTTGAGAAGTTATTTTTGCCAAATTTGATACATTTTATTACATTGAAAATGACCTTGAAATATTTAAAATGTCTGAAAATAACCATGACCACAACCTGTGGTTTACTTGCATGCAATGAAACTTGAATTTTAATATACTCTCTCCTTCTACAGATGCTAATTCATTAATGAATAAATCCTTTAAATTTAATTATGAAAAATTTTTAAAATTTTATTCTTAGATTTTCATTTATTGAAACAATTCTCTTTCTAAGATAATACTAGTATTTGCTTGGTTAACTGAATCTATTCTTCATCTTCCAAATTCGATCATTTAGTAAAATAATGCAAGGAGCTACTAAATTTTAACATAGAAAAAAATCCCCTGTGTCTGAGAGAACATCTCTGCAACACCTTAGTAACCTGTCCACAGGTACAGCAATGACAGCACACAGTGAAAAATTCCTATGGGAAGTTTATGGGAAGTGATCTCTGCTCGGCTAATATAAACAGTTTACTTTTGATTTAGATCAGTCTGAGCCTGTAGAATGACTAATTTTATAGAAAGAAAAAATTGAAAGTTGCCAAAAGGGATTCTAGGCTAAAGGCTACTGATTGTTCAAGTGGAGCGTCTTAACTCCTCAGAGAGTAAAAAAACACCCTTCTGTGTCTCTCCAGTGATATTTTAAAAAGAAGAAAAAAGCCTCCACCAACCAAAGATGTGGAAATAGAAAATACAGGAGGTAAACAGCCAATAGTGAAAAATTAAACAGGTTGAATTAAGCTATAAAATTTCAATAAAGCAAAGAAAAAAGCAGGATCAATTGTAGATGTAGGAAAATGGGAAAAGATAAGTTACAGGAAGAAATTTTAATAGCAAGTCTTATGATATTTTAAGCATATAAATGTCTCTCTAAAGCTTAACTAATGACCTTAACTTCCATGTGGGTAAGATCTGTTAAGTTGAATTACATCTTTAACAAAGTCTTGTTTAAAATAATTAATTCTGAACTTGGCAATCTACAGAAACTGAAATTTTTTACCCCTCTTCTTATTAAGCTAACCAAGAATGTGACCTATGTCCTTGTAGAATAATCATAAAGAATTAAAGGCTAAAATTGTGTGTGCTAAATTTATCCTTACTTCCTCTTCCTCATAGAAATATATTTACATATTAAAGATAGTTTTATGATCTTAGTGTTTTTCATCATCACAGCTGTATTATTAAGAGTGCATACCAATTTATCAGTTTTCTGTAACTGCTCTACAGAGATGATTCAAAATTCACTCCTTACACATCAAACTCAAAAGGAACGTACTGGAAAGATGAGGAAGAACTTTTCATTCAGGAACACTAGTGATAGGAAAAGGGGTTACAATTTCGAACAGGAAAGAAGAAATTCTTTACTGGTAAGGTTGCAAAATACTGGAACAGGTTGTCCAGAATAGTTGTGGATATCCAGTTCCTGGAAATGTCCCAGGTGAGATTTGATGGAGCTTTGAGCAGCCTGATCTAGTGAAAGAGATCCCTGCCCATGGCAGGTACCTTGGAACTAGATGATTTTTGAATGCTCCTTCCAACACAAACCATTCTATGATTTTATGGTTCTAATACCCTTTTCTTCAATTTCATCCCTTCCCCTGCTAACAAATCTATCTTGCAATAATAATTATCCATTTAAGTTTGATTTTATCCATAAGATTTGTGAGAAATAGCCCTGCATTTAAAAACAAGTTCTGTGAAGAAGGAAAGTAAAGAACCAGAGTGTTACAGAACTGCTGAGACTTCCTCAGAAAAATAACAAGGGATTTACATTGAATTTAATAGGAGCCGTGAAAAGGGGTGCTTTCGCCTTCTTCACCCTTCAGTGCACAGCAATCGTCATTTATTTCTGTTTGCCTGAAGATGTGAAATAGAGTTGAAAAGCAAACCCACTGATTTAATTTCTCCAGCTCAGGAACTATAATTTTTTTTTTTTGGTTGGTTGGTTGGTTGGTTGGTTGGTTTTTTAAAACTGTATTTCTTCAGTGCACATGAATATGAATGATCGAGGAATCTTCATACAGGTGGATGTGCAAAATAACGGAAATGTAAATGTCTGCATCAGACACGGATTTATAAAGACTGATTGAAATTGCTGTTGCATAAGCAAGTCATATTAACAGTTATTACTATAAGGTGCCATTTGTGCTTTCCCTGTTCATGAGGAATGTTTCTTTTTTGAATGGATCTGCTGCCTTGCTAAACCATTAACATTTGTCAGATGGTGAGATTAGACTCCTAACAACTTGCAGATGACATTCAGCCAGAGCAAACCCTTTTCTGTTGTTGACAGTTTGTTTAATAAGTGTGCGTGCTGCTGACATTTAGGCAAGAAAATGTCTGTGAAATGTGCATTCTTACAGAGTGTAGCTGAAGCTGATGTTAAGCTTTCTAGGCTGGGGTTTTGGTAGGATCTTTGTGTGTACATGCATACTCTTTGTTTGCTTGCAACTTTCACAAACAGAAAGAATATGTTCTACTCAGCGTCTCAAAAATACAGAATGTCTTGATGTTTCAGTTTATTTTAAAACTGAATTTTCAATTGAATGTAATGAAATATTCATACTGAATGCCTTGCCTCATTTTCTTTGCAAATTGTATTTTCAAAGATATTGTTTAAATGATATTATTCAGCTTTCTTCTCCAATGAAGTTTCTGCAAATAACTCTTTCTTGTAAACAATTTCTTTAAAACCTTTTAGGTATATGAAATTTAAGCCTATTTGATTTGAAAGATTACACACATTTCTGCTTTCAAATTGGGATTGCTCTTAATCAATCATTTGTTTTAAACAGCATTTGTTTAAAATCCATTGATTTGAACTATATTTCAGCTAGCAATATCTTGCTTGCCCATTTCAGTGGAAAAATGTCTGTAAGTAAATAAGATTCAATTAAAAAGTCCAAATAATTACATTAAATATTTTCTCAAAACTTGCACTGACATTTACTGCAAGAAAATGTCCTCCACTTCAAAAATGAAATGGCAAATATTAGATGAATGGTTATATTTTCAGACATTTAATTTTTCAATGAGTAATATTAGTAGTTTCTATTGTTCTTTAAAATCCATAAGAATGCTTTCCTTAGGCTCCATTCTCATAAAGTGCAAATTGCTGCAACAAATATAAAGCACTTTTTTGTGTCCACAAAATTATGTTGATGTGCACATAAGGCATTTGACTACATAATCAGACAACTATTTATTAACTGGCAATGATCAGATCATAGAATCACAGAATCATTGACTATCCCAAGCTGGAAGAGACCATCAGTGATTATCAAAGTACAGCTCCTGACCAGGCACAGGACAGCCCCAAGAATCAAACTGGTTACTTGTTTTGTCCCTTTATCTCAAGATGCTCTGTAAATTGTTTATATGAAAGGTGCTTTTGAAATTTGACAGTAAAAATTTTGCCTTATTTATTTATTTATTTATTGTTATGCTTAAAGCTTACTTAACTTCACAGAAACTTATTTTTTTCTTGTTAAGTTTTACTCTGAAATAATAATTCTAAATATCATCTTTTTCTGGTTGTATGAATTTTCAACCAGTAATTAATATTTTTTTTACCAAGTCAGATTTTTTTTTTTAATTTTAACAATGTATAACTTTAAACTCAGAAATCCTAAAGCATAAGCTAGGAAACTAAATTTAAAATATCAGTTGAGTGTTAAAGACCCTTCTAAGCTGCAGAAAAAGAGAATGATTGACAGAGAATTTCACTTGCTCATGTTTCTCAATAAAATTTTAGAATTCCTCTTCATGCTTTGTGAAATCTTTACTACAAAAAAGGAACAAAGGAAATCCTGGTCTTTTATACCCTCACAGTCTAAACATGTGAAGTCTGTAGCTCTTGGCTCCTGCTGTGTGTCTGAGTGTTCTGTCACCTAGACAGCACCACAGGTCCCTGCATCCTTTGTTATGCAAAGGGCTGGTGCCAGTTCGTGGCCTCTTGCCTGGGGGTCCTGCCACCCAGGGCTCAACCTGCAGCTGGCACTGCAGCTGCTCCCCCAGCCACCTGCACTGAATGTGCTCCTCAACAACTCTGACACCTCTTGAGCAATTCCAGAGACCCTATACCTCGGCCCTGGAAAACTTATTCTACTGTCTAACCACTCTTTCAGTGAATATTTTTTTTT